GAAGCCCTAGGGCACAGGGTGAGGCTGGGGGCTAGTGGACGTGACCTGCCAACTGAACCCTGAAGGAAGGATGGAAGCCAGCCCAGGGGGAACAGCATGAGTGGTGCACGAAACAGTGAGAAGGGAGAGAATGAGAAGTTCTGAAAATAAGCTGATGGCAATATCAGGGGAGAGTGGATACGTGGGGAGCCTCCCCAGAAATGCTCTGATGCAGCATCCCCCTCAGAGTGTTTGATGGGGAGGCTTGTTTGTAGCAATGCGCCCGGAGTGTGGTTTGTAAGATCTCACCTCCCTGCCCTGCCCATATTCCCCAAAGAGTTTGGGCTCTGGGGTCAAACAGAACTTAGTGACAGTCCTGGGTTCACTTTGGGCAAATCTCAAAAAAACAAACAAACAAACAAACAAACAAAAACTTTGTGAGCCTCAGTTTCCCCATCTGTAACACGGGGCTAATAGCAATACTTACTTCACAGGGGTGTTGTGAGGAAGCAAACTGAGCCCTAGCACCAATCCCTGGCACATCATAAGGTGTTCATAAAGGAAAACTGTAGTTCTGCCTGGATTGACCATGACTTGGTGAGTATCAAAGCTCAATGATAGGCACATGAGAGCTCAATGGACTATTCTGTTTTCTTCTGAGTATTTTTGAAATTATTATGGTAAAATATATGTTTAAAAACTATGTCTCGTATTATTTCTGCGAGTACTGCTCTGATCCATGCTCCTCTGGGGAGTGTTCCTGTTCGTTAAAGGGAATCAGAGTATGACAATTGCAAGAGACCAGAACCTCCCTCCAAAATTCTTCACTTTCACCTGCCAAGTTCATTCTCCCCAGTATTCAGAGGGGCTTGAGAGAGAGCCTGCACCCCCTGGCCCATCCTGATCCCATGGCTTGGTTCCAATGCCAACATCAAAGCTTCAAAATCAGGTGTAAAATCGAAATACTGAAATTCAAGGTTTATTTATTTTTCATCTAAAAAAAGAGAGAGGGGCGCCTGGGTGGCTCAGTTGGTTAAGCGACTGCCTTCGGCTCAGGTCATGATCCTGGAGTCCCAGGATCGAGTCCCGCATCAGGCTCCCCGCTCAGCGGGGAGTCTGCTTCTGCCTCTGAACCTCTCTCCTCTCGTGTTCTCTCTCTCATTCTCTCTCTCTCAGATAAATAAATAAAATCTTTAAAAAAATGAAATAAAATAAATAAAAAAAATTTAAAAGAGAAAAATCAAGCATTCCTAATGCTAAAATACGGATTGAAGCTATGCTCGCAAAAAAGTAAAGTGTGCAGCCTTAATTGTTACACATAAAAGAACATGTTTTCTTGCCTAAGAGTCTGGAAAAATGGCAACTCGAAGGGAAACACATGGATTAACCCTTATTTCTTTTGGTTCCAGTGAGAGGAGAACTTTCCCCAAACTTGGTTAGCCAGCTGGAAGAAAGTTACTGACTTGACTATGGAGATCCGTTGATGAATATGAATACAAAAAGATAGAAAAATTTTTTTAAAGTATGGATTGAGAGTAATCTACATAAATTATTCACAAGTCAAACACAGACTGGGTGTGAGCACTCAAAAAATGTTTGTCCAATGGGACTGCATGATCAGTGAAGTCTGGAGGAACTGGTCTCCAAAATATGGCCCCTCTACCGTGTCATCAGCGCTCCATGCAGAGGGGGACCTGGATGCTTTGTCATCTGCCGAGCAGAGTCATCTGCTCACACAGATAGGAGGAAAATGTAGTGGAAGGCATAACTTCTATCCGAATTTCCAGGGCCAGGCGTGTATCTCATGCACTCAGGCAGTCCTGAAAATAATTAGTCACATAGACGTAAACTCTGGGAATAAAGAAAGGGGCCTCTCACCAATTAGGGACAGTCATGCCCACTGCACCTGCAAGGTGTCCCCCTCCCCACCACCAAAAGGGAGAAGGGAGAGCTATTATAAGAGAAGGTGGTCAAGAGACCCTAAGGAGAAGGGGCATGGGAGGTTGCTGATGGAGACAGATAGGTCCAAATGGAGCATTTGGAGTTGGTGACCTAAGATCCTACTGGGCCATCAACGAGGACCCCAAGGCCAGGACCTTCAACCAATCCTAAGGAGTGGGAGCTTCCGTCTGGGGTACTCTCTGCCGGCAGCCTGGGCCCAAGAAGCAGGGCTGTCTCTTCTTGCCTGACCCTTTGGAGGGTGCTGAGACTCCCTACAGCAGAGGATGTAAGAAAGAGTAGGAAGTGTGTCCCACCCATTTGATCTCTTCTCAAAGGCCTGTGAACTCTGGGAGGTGGACGTGCTTGGTCTGTGCAGCTGGGCAGAGGCTCGGCCTGGAGGTCAAGTCCTGGTTCAGCCTTTTAGCTTTGTGAACCTGGGCATGTCACTGGACCTCTTGGAGCCCTAATTTCCCTGCCTCCCCAATGAACAGAACAAGAACTTTTCTACTTCCTGAGAGATGTCAGTATAGTAATCCCATCCTAACAACACAGAAAATGGACCCAAAAGCAATTAGGAAATTAAGACAATACTTTCTAAGTATGATTGGTAATAATTCTCTACTCAGCTAGAGATGAGAAGGGTGAGGGTCTGGGGCAAATGGTTTCTTGCATTCCACAAGAACCCCAAGACGGATAGCCCACCAAGTTGGCAGCAGGGGGAGGCCTGGTGTCCCCATCCCTCCCTGCCTCCATCTCAGGGCATCCTCCAGAGATCATGGGATCGTGGACTTCAATGAGTCTGGAGGGGCCTGCCTGGGATATGGAGAGTGTGCAGACGCAGAGGTTGTCCTGGGCGGGTGTGCTCCTGCCTCCAGCCTGCCATCTCATCAATCTATCATCCTCTTAGCAGGTGACACCTCTTGAAGCTCCTCTCGGCTGCCTGGGCATTAGAATTGCAAGAAGCCCAGTTGCGTCAGGGAATACAGATGGAGGAATCTCAGATTCAAATGTGTCTAAGTATTGTGAACAGCCAGACCGGGGCAAGGCATTTCTACTGCCCTGCCACCGAAGGGGAGTGGCGGGGGTTTTGTTAGAAGTACAAATTGCTTCTTAATGCAGAGGATAAAGCTGGGCTCGGGCACCTCCTTAGAAATTCCTCCCGCTCCCAGGGAAGCCACCACTGCATGTCAATTTTAATTTTTGAAATTTAAACCGAGGGCTTTGTGTCTAAGCTCCATCTCATCGGAGGAAGGGGAGGAATAAGTCAAAAAGGATTAGGGGCCCATGGGGGATTGCAGATCCATAGCAATTAGACTTCATTTGGGTCTCAGACATTTGGTTTTAATCGTATTTCTGGATGATACAATCGACAAGGCATCAGAAATTGATACGTATGCAACTGTAGATGGGGCCCGACTCTGCCCTCCCCAATTCCCGGGCTCAGCTGGGTTTGGGCTCCACAATCAGGGGGGTGGGCTGGGGTGGGGTGGGGAACTGCGCTTCCGTTTGGGTCTGGAACTGGAGAGATGGTGGTTTGTGTGTGTGTGTATGTGTGTATGTGTGTGTGTGTGTGTGTGTATGTTTTCCCCCGGCTCTCTTTGAGCACTTTATCCCTGGACTCAAAGCAGATGCAATCAGCGCTAATATTCAAGTGAATGACAATGAAACCTTATTCAAATAAAATAAGAGCATAAAGAGGAATAGCGACAGTGACAGGACTCAAGGCATGGGGTGTAATTGTCTCTCAGATCGGACTCAACGGCTTTCAGCATCCTCCAAGAATTAAAGTCCAGCACAATGCGATTTGGGGGCAGACATCCAGCCTTGAACACTGTCACACACCACATGGACATGGACCTACAAATGTGTAGGTCCCTTGGATACGTGTGTCCCTTGGATTAGTGATGACAGCCATAACATATATCTATATGAGGGGTGCATGTGCGCACACGTATTTCCAGCTTTACCCGGGTACATGCACTCCAGGGTCACCTCTGCGCACACACTCCCATTTCTTTTCAAACAACTAACTGGTCAAAACGAGCTCAGTAGGCACTAACAGGTTGCTAGCTGGTTATTTTGTAGGTAACTTACTGTTTATTGGAACTCAGTGATTTAAAAACGAAACAGAAAAGTAAAAAGAAAAAAATCAAAGCCATGTGGGGTGTTTTCCTAACTCGTGAATGTGGAATTATGAAGGGAAGTAAAGAGGGGACACCAAACGAGCACATTGGGGTTCAGAGCAAGTGCCCCACATCACCGTGCAAATGGAAGGCAAGACCCCAGAAAAAGGATGCCCCCCCCAATAGTGTCTATCTTACCACACGGTTCTGGGTGAATTCGGGGAACTGATGGTCCACAGAATTGTCTCTGTTTACCAGCTCTTTTGAGAGATGTGGATCTAGCTGGTGTATGAGCAAATGGACCTGTGCTGAGTATACTATGTGTAAGAGTGGGTGTATTTCTGCGGAGGACTTCTGCACTTCCTTTCAGGGGCAAACATCTCAGAGATCACCTGCTGCAGAGTGCCTCATTCATGCTTCCCATTTGCAGCCCAGCTAGCCTCCTCCCCCCTCCCTTCTCCAGAAACTCTTGCCCTTTGACCTCCTCCCATAAGGCTATCCTCTCCAGGGTCTTCTAACTTCCCCCCACCCTCCTCTGGGCTCTTCCTGTTCGGGGCTGCAGCCCAGGGGAGCACATCCCCAAAGGGAGGGAGGCTGCCCCCCCTCCCCACATTTCTGCACCCACCCCAGGTGGCAAGGCAGAGGCAGTGGCCAGCAAGCAGGGTATATATGAGGTTACTCAGGGCCCAGTTAAGGTCTTTACGCCAAGGTGGACGTCTGAAGGCCCCCCGGTCCTGGGGCCACGCTGAGAGAGAGTCGGAGCCCATGGTCTAAAAACATAATTTAATGCATCAAGGTGGGTCTGACTCGGGAGTGCAGTGGCGAGATGAATTTTCCATTTGCTGGGATTCTGCTGCGGGTGGTTTCTGGCTGACGGACAGGGAAATTTGCACAGGTATTTTGGGTCACAAAGAAGGATGCCCCAGGGAGCTCCTGCTCACTTTGGCCTACCTCGCTGGCCAGGACTGGGAGCCCTCGGTCTCAGGGCACTCGGAGAAGGAGGGGGGACTGGAAGGGCAGGCATCCCGCCAGGCCTGTCCAGTCCAATCAGGTTTGCAAAGTCTGAACTGAGCTGCCTCCGCCTCCGGGGTTCGGGTTCCCGCTCACCCTGCCACTCAGGCATCCCCTTCTCCCTCCCCAGGTAGGGGACAGGGACCAGGAGGACAGCGCAGAGTGGAGCGTGGTGAGTCGCAGACACACTGAGGTCGGAGCGGGGCAGGGAGGACGGCAGGGATGTGTCTTTTCCGTAGATGTCAGGAAGTGTCATGAAGCGAGAGTGGTCCTCTCCAGCCGGGGAACAGCTCTCCGCCAGGGGCCCAGGGTGGCCTGAGGCCACTCGGCCCCGCGCTCCCTGTGCTCCTAATCCGGGTACAGAAGAAAGCCCGAGAATGTGCTGTATTTGTTGTTGTTGCCTCCGTGCGCCTTCCCGCCGTCCAGCTTCACGTACACCTCGTCCCCTGAATCGAGGTGCAGCACTACGCTGTTACTAGCGTAGTCGTAGTTCTGGTCGGCGTCCTGAGCGATGGCACTGGCCCGGACCTGGGGGCGAGCCGCCAGAGCAGGTGGGCCAGGGCACCCCTGCCTGCGCCTTCCCCACCCCCAGATGGCACTCCCCCCCCGAAACCCCGCCGGCCTTCTGCCCGCAGCTCCAGGGACCACACTCCCACCCAGGCTCCTCTCTCTGTCTCCTCTCTCTCTCCAACTTGGCCAGCTCCTTTCCGGTCCCCTCCTCTCGGCAGCCGGCAAGTCGAGTCCCGGAAGGAAGGAGAGAGGGGGCTTCATAAACTCTGACCCAGCGGGGAACGGGGAGAACCAGGGCAGCAGGGCCGAGAAGAAAGAAGACTGGGGGGCAAAGGGGAGACGGGGGCGCAAAGGGAGAACTAAAGAAGAATGAGGTTTCCGAGGAGCCCGCGGGGCTGCTGGCAAGCGCGGGTGGCGGGGTCTCTGGGCGCTCGGGGCACAGCCTGCCGCGCTACGCTGGGACAAACGCGACCAGGGCGCACCGGGAAGCTGGATGCTGCGGCGCGCTCCCCCCCGGGGCTCGCCCGGGCGCTGGCGAGTGGGGAGAAAGGAGTCTGGCTTCCCAGGCGGTTTGGGGCGCGGGGTGGGGAGGAGAGTCTGCGGGGATTTGCGGGGGCCGGCGGCGGTGAAGGGTGACTGACCTGCCCGTTCTTGCAGAGGTCCGCCCACATGCTGGTGCCGTCGCCGCCGCGCATGAGGATGTGGTAGGTGAAGAAGTAGATGCCGCGCACCTGGCAGCTGAACTTGCCGGTCGTGGGGTCGTAGTGATTGCCGAGATTGGTGACCACGTCGTCGAACTTGAGCACCTCGTAGCCTTCGTGGGGGCTCTTAAGACCCACGTAGAAGGCGATCTTGGGGCCGCTGAAGGCGGCGCTCAGCGCGCCGGTCACTTCGCCTTCGGAGTCGCCGCCGCCCCCGGTTCCGCCACTTACCGCCCCGACACCGCCTGTCGCGCCCGCCGTCAGCTGCAGGCCGGGCAGCCCCGGCCGTCCCGAGTCGCCCTTCTCCCCCGGGGGACCCCTGGGTCCAGGCGGGCCCGGCTCTCCAGGGGGCCCCCGCGGCCCCGGCTTGCCGGGTCGCCCCGGGTCGCCCTTGGGTCCCTGGATGAAGGGGGGCGGAGGGTTGGCGCTCAGGTCCTGCATGACTTCCAGGGCGGCAGTGCTGGGTCCGGGCGGCGGCGCCTTGGCGCCCGCGGGCCCCCCGCCGGGTGCGGCGCTGTACGGGTCGCAGATCATGCGGCAGGTGCCCATCATCTCGTAGTGCGCCGCGCCGGGGGGCGCCGCCTGCAGCAGCAACGGCACGGCGATGAGCAGCCCCAGCGCCATGGCCAGGAGC